TATATATATATATAATCACACAGACACACACTTTCAATATTCCTTATCAAAACGTTAAACAGCAGCAAACAGGAAGTGATTGTAAAACTTCAATAAAAAAATAAGATTGATGTTTAAAGCCAGGGACAACTGTCTCAAAGTCAGCCCCATGCCATAAAATCAGAGCCAACTATGAAATAAACTTCTTGCAGAATATAGAATTATACAAAAGGCATAATCCTAAATTGTATTTAAGCAGAGCCATCAACATGTCAAAACTTCTTAAAGAATTTAAAACTGTACAAAAACATTGCCATCGTTTTAGATAACAGAGCCATCAATTTACTGATACTAGCTACAATTGCCTTTTGCAGTTTAAAACACACAAAAAAAAAAAACAATCCCAAAAACAACAAAAAGTATAAAGGGTGTTATAACAAAAAGCAACAAAAAGTATAAAAGTAGCAACAAGAGATAATCGGTCATCAGTTAAAAAAAAGAAAAACCCATCAGGGAATTGTTGGAGGGTAAACATCAGAGCAAAAAGTAAAGGAAAATAAAGGCAAACTCACCCATTGTTTGGCTGTGTCCATGATTTCCCTAGCTGTCCCCATCCACATGCTGCACACAAATGAAACAGCTTTCACAACTCAGTGCTTGTGCTGGCTGGCAGTACTGGGAGGGGATCACTAAGTTTCATATGAAGATGAGACAGGCCAATGTGGGCGTGTTATGGGAGCCTTTTTTTTTTCCTCATTCCTCTGTGCCTCCTTTCTTCTTTTTATCTGTTTAACTCGCCTTTTGGTATTTAGTCACACTAGACAATCTAGCTTGTGGGAGATTGTGCCTCTTCAATTGCATGTGTGCTGGGCTCCTGCTGCTCTGCCTAATTGCCTGGGGGAAATCACAACTGGGTGCCTCAAATTTGCAACCTAAAAAAAAGTGCAGGTAGCAGCTCCGGAGGATGTTACAACAAAATAATATCAAATTCTCTAATCTTTCAAGGAGGGTTTTGAAATGTTCAATTTATTTGAAGGATATGAAGATGGGGATTAAGTCTGAGCAATTTCATAGTGTATTTTATTTATTTTTCTGATACTAGGATGGTATGACATTTTCTTTTTGTCATTCTCATTTTCCCCCTGAATAGAAAAGGATCTATTGTTAGGAATCACTTTGTTTTAATAGGATTGTCTCAGATTAAATATTTAAAGTGAATCTGCGAGTGAAAACAGAAAGAGAGACACAGCAATGTACCTCCCAACTTTCGGAGGGGATAAAGAGTGACAACCTTTAGCATAAAGTATACAGGCAAATAACACCCCACTGCCAAGCTTCCAGTTCCACAACCTGGAAGGATTAGTACATAGGTGCTTCTTTCATCGATATTTCTATATACCTGTTTTTCAAAAATAATCTAGAGGTTGGTTGAAAGGTTTAGCAAAGTATATCAGGTTTGGTAGTTTCCCTTTTTTTTTATATTAGATCAATTGACTGAGAACTGATGAGGAATGAAGAGCAGAGTGATTGGGTTCCAAAAAGGGGAAAGCCCCCCAAATGTACGACAGATGGAAGCTATGCTTAAGTTAGATAGCAGGACCTCCAAACACATTGCCTCACATCTGCTCTAAGGAAACCAGGGACCCCCAAAACTCCAAAATGCCCTGTAATGCAAAAATCTGGACAAGCTTCCCTGGTTTGTGGTGCTGGTTGTGCCTTGTTACCGGCCCTATTTCTGTGATGGTTGACCCTGTTAACCAAAAGAAAGGTGCATTTATAGTGGGGAGGGGCAGCTGCATCGTCTAGGAAGCTCGGGTGGTTGTTTGCTATACAAAGGGCTTTTGGGGGTCCAGGGTTGTTATACAGTACCGTGATCAGAGGCAGCATGCAAGCACTTGGAGATGCCAACTAACTGATGCTTCTATCTGTTATGTGTATGTGTGTTACCAGGAAGGCAGACAACTGGCTATCCTTGAACAACCTGCACACCTCCAGGATCCTCTGCAATCTTCTTCCCAACGTAGACAATAGATGTCTGCAATTAAAGCATAATTTCTTTTTTGGTTGCAAAGATTTTTTACCTACATGTTGTGAAACTTCTTTATGCCATAACACTATCCACCAACATCAGAAGTACTAGTAACTGCACCTCTACGAGCCCCAGCTGCTGCAAGAGAAGCTGGAAGTGGATGCATAATTTGTGATTACCCAATCACGGATGAATAATGCTGGGCAAACACCTTACAACCATCGCAAGGTAATTAAAAAAACGTACGATCTGCCTATCTTGGACAGGCAGATCGTACTTGCGATGATCGCAAGCCCGCCCCGCTGAGGGGCGTGCTTCCGATGACCGCAATGCCAAACGGGCACACCGGCCCGTCCGGCTTTTATCCTAGGAACATGCTACAAACCCGCCGAAAATTGTACGATTCTCGGCCTGTATTCGAACATGTTCGTAAGATAAAAGTTGTGCGACCTTACAGTAGTAGAGGTCGCACGGCTTCCACACACCTTACGATAAACGTATGATCACGGGATTCCCGCAATTATCGTACGATTATCGCAAGGTGCGTGGGGACCTTTAGGTAAGGTTAGCCGAACATGTGGTGGGACCAACAGTGTTCTCCTTGACTTATCTGATAGGGAAATGCTCATATGTGGTGTGATAATCTTCCGCCTTTTCTCCACACATGCAAGAATAACCAAAGCGCTAAAAAGGTCTACCTGTGATAATCTATGCTACCACAATCAGAAACACCCAAACTTCACAGTTTTTACCACACCGGATCAAGGCAGGTCACCACAAGGACACAGAAAACAAGGACACATCGTACACTACCAATAAAAGTTTAAAAAGAAAAAATGTAAACAGTGACAGCTCCAGCACATTGCCAAAGCTGACATACATAACACACTAGCCGCCCGCTAAAACACACCATTTTAGCGAACAGGCTACCGTGAACGGGCCCTTAAGCAGCCCTTTGTGGACAGCAGTGCTTGAATCCGATCCATTGCTTGTACAGATCATGCATGGGCACTCTAAGCATGTGTTCACATGTGAGTGTAGCATGCATTACCATACATTAGGTGCGTTGCTATTCATTTGAATAGCACCCCAAAGAACCTCCCGGACAATGTGTGCTACAATGCAACATGTGGTAACGCAAAAGTGCGTGCATGCACCAACTTTCCACTGCAATGCACACTTTACAGCACATGGTGGCCAGGAGGTGCGTTGGGGTGCCATGCAAATTATGGCGGCCAGGAGGTGCGTTGGGGTGCCACAACACACCTAGCATACAGTAATGCACACTAGGTGTGTTAAGCGATTAATGCTACACTTAGCTGTGAACGGGCCCTAAAACATTCAGTGTAAAGGTGCCCATACACTGTGCGATTATCGCACGATAATCGCTGGAAATCCCGCGGTCGTACGATAATCGCAAAGTGTATGGAAGGCATGCGACCGTTTTTACTGTACGGTCGCACGTCTTTTGTCTAAGGAGCATGCTAGAAAACCAGCCGAGAATCGTACGATTTTCGGCTGGTTTTTAGCATGATTGTGAGATCAATGCCGCACAGGCCGGTGTGCGCACACGCACACTGCCTGTTCAGCATTGCAGCCATCGCAAGTACGATCTGCCTGTCCAAGATGGGCAGATCGTACGTTTTTTAAATTACTTTACAACCATCGCAAGACTAAGGTCTTGCGATGGTAGTAAAGTGTATGGCCACCTTAAGAGCTGGCCAGTGTAGCCAGATATGATCAATCAGATCACCTGCTGCTTATCAATACAACACTGCCCCTGCTGGCAAAACATGAGTTAGCATTTATTTCAAAAGCATTCTGTATGCTGATATTTTTACTCACTACAGGGACATTGTCAGCAGCTAACAGTAACAATCACTAAGGAGACAGCAGGATGCTCGAATGCTGTAAGATTTATCTTTTAAGCTGCAATAAAATTCAACTGTGGATGCTCAGTATCTAAAATCGGTCAGCAATGGTTAAAAGGCAGAATGGAGCCATAGGCTATCAGATAGCAGCTTTGTGCCCCCATATTCCTTCAACGGACATTGATAAGGATTGTTATAGGCACAGAGAAGCTTCCCCATTTGCATTGTCTGTACTGGCATAGGCTGCCCCATCCGACACCAACTGCCTACAAGTTCCTTGGGCAGAGAAGACAGTTTTTAGAGACGCCATCTTCATTTATTTGAAGCATCAGAGTGAACTTGAGTTCTGTATACAATGGTCAATGGATCAATATGATAGGCAGAAAAAAAACAGAGAGAGAGAAAGATACACTTTTGGATACAGTATGGAAAGGTTTGAATCTGTTTTTTATTGCCAGTGTGTCTCCACTAGGAAGACTCGACCTGTGTCCAGGTGACCACTGTTGCTGCGTGAGAAAGGATGAATTTCCACCACGTGCCATGTGTTTAGCGCATGTTAAATGCACTTGAGTTGACATGCTTTGATATTTTTATTTTAATAGCTTGCATTAATGTGCATTTTTTTCACAGAGCAGAAACAAAAATAATGCAGTACGCTGTGACTCTTTGTGTTCTGCTGTTGGTGTGTACCGGGCCTAGGGCTGCAGCTAACGATTATTTTCATAATCGATTAGTTGGCCGATTATTAAGTTCGATTAATCGGTTAATCGGATTTTTTAAAAAAAGGCTCCAGTGATTGACGACTAGTTTGTGTTAAGATTGTAGTTCATCACGGAAGCAAGCTTGGCGCGGTGGAAGTAAAAAAAAAGTGTGGTGTGCAATATAGTACATTATACAGCGGCGCAGTGCAGAATACCAGCAGCTATAGAGGAATGTAGCAATAGTACATTATACTATAATGTACTATTGCTGGGATTTGTAGTCCTCTGTAGCTGGCGTTATTCTGCATTGCGCTGTATATAATGTATTATTGCTGGGATTTGTAGTCCTCTATAGCTGGTGGTATTCTCCATTGCGCTGTATAATGATTTATACTGCGCAATGCAGATTACCACTGACCAGTTATAGAGGAACAAATCCCAGCAAAAATACATTATACAGCGCAATGGAGAATACCACCAGCTATAGAGGAACAACAAGTCCCAGCAATAATACATTATACCGGGTGTTTAATATATTATTGCTGGGATTTAGCTGGTGGTAGAATACCACCTCTTTAGCTGGTGGTATTCTACAGTGTGCCGCTTTTTTCTTTTAAACGGGAAACATTAAAACAGGTCCCCCTTACCTGTTTCTGAACCCTTGTAAGTCGCAGGGCCTATTGGAAACAATGGATTTCAGCTCGTCATTGACTGGGCCTGTGTTGAGCAATGCGGCCCAATGGATGAGGTGTTAGGGCCCATTTAGATACTGCTGTCCTGCTGCACTGTGCTAACGCACATGCATCAACATGCTTTCTTCAGACATTATTGTGCGTTAAGGAAAGCCTACCGGTAGTAGTGTGTTACTTTGAACTGTGGTGTGCTGCAAGACATGTGCTTTAAAGCTGCTTGCCTTACTGCAACCACGCCAATAAATCTCACCACAAAAAGCCAAGGCAAGTAACATGCACAGAATGCATTAGAAAAATGTGGACCCCAAACATTGAACAAATCCAGAATTTTAAAATCTTTTAATGTGGACACT